GGTGACAACACAGATGCAATACAGTAAGTGAGCATTGCCATCCTAGGGCAGGAAGTGCGTTACTGGCAGAATCACCGGGTGAAAATAAAGGCAAAAAGCATGATGACCCAACACCAATCTGGGCCGTGTGAAATGTACTGCAGTCCAGGAGGACTTATAGAACATGAAGATAAACGCCAGGCTGCCCAATTACAACAGAAGAGATTGAATTGTCTAATTTTTTAAAGCCCTCGGCCATCCTGGACACTATGTTTTGAGCTCTGCTGACATTCCATGTAATGTGCGAATTGCAGACAGTCCTTAGAGGTGCCGTCTTCCAGCAAGTGAGAAATCACACAGCCATTGTGTCCTGTATTCTAGTTCTTTTCTCATAAATTACTAGACAGGTTTCTATGGACTTCCCGACAGTGTAAAAATACTACTTATCATGTCCCCCAGCCCATTAAATGCCAGTATAAGACCTCCCATAGTGACCACTCACCTCAGAGCGGGGCAGTTGTTGGCAAGAATGACGAGCTTAGCCTTGCCCTCGCGGATTCTTTTCAATGTCTGCTTGTATCCAAGGACATATTTACCGCTTTTCATAACAAGCTGAAGCCGTGAGTTAATAGACTCCAGGGACTTTTTCTACAATGCAGAAAACAAAACACAAAATGAGTTACAAGAAACAGGATTTCTGCCATTTACAAAGACCTCTGACAACGCTCACAAACATAGACAATGACATCCAATTCTGCCACTTCTCATACAACCAAAAGCCGTGCACATACATAGACAATCATTTTCCTGAAAAAAAATAAAAACTCCTCTGCTTCAAGGCCAGACTTTTTAAAAGGTTCTCTGGGGAGATTCTCCGATGTGTGTACTAGTACCGTATCGGTGCAATGCCGAGTACTCACCCAAATGCTCCGATGCCTAGCCCGATCCAGAGAGCATGGAGCTGGCTTCCCGGGAAACCGGGCAGTGTGTAATGACGCACTGCCCGGCTTCCTGATTGGCCGGGAAGCCGGCTTCATGCTCCCTCGTCACCTCATGACGAAGGAGCATGGAGCTGGCATCCCGGCCAATCAAGAAGCCGGGCGTTGCATCATTACACGGCGCCTGGCTTCCTAATTGCCAGAAAGCAGGCTCCATGCTTTCTCGTCACCTAGTGACGAGAAGCATGGGGACAGCTTCCCTGCCAATCAGGAAGCCAGGTGGCGAGTCATTACACGCTTCCTGAATGGGGCTTTCGGTATCGGTATTCAATATCGGCGATAACCAATAAGAAAATACAAAAATACTGGTACTCAATCCCGAAGTACCAGTGCATCCCTAGAGACACCTGTCCCCGTAATAACATAGATAGGGGATACACACTGTTAGAAAGTGGAACTCAATTGGTTTTGTTAATACCAATTTCTAATAGTTGATAAAAGTTAAATCGATGACCAATGTCAACTGGAGTGACAAAAGTCGAAGGAGCGTTTGGAAACGTTTTCATGATCGAACACAATTCTAACAGTGAATAATAGGGCTATGATTAAGGTCCATTGGGGGACTGAAACATGTTTGTAGCTGCTTTGATGCCTTTTCAATAAAGAAACACCATTAAGGGGATTCCTAGGAGTGCCAACTCTTTTCCACTTAATCTTACAGTGGAGCTACCCCCACACTGCAAGGGTTAAGTGCTCATTTTCATCTAGGTGGTAAAATAAGGAAAAACGGTCGCGCATATGCAATACGCCTAGGTGTGAACGAGACTTAAGAAACACCCCAAAAAGCAAAGCAAGCAGGGATCCAGCCACCTACTGACAAGCATCCTGTATTGTGGGATGTGGTGGGGAACCCATCAGAGCCAACAGTTCTGAAAGTCACAAGCACTTAGGTCTCGTAGATGAGGAGGCAAAGAAAACAAAAAATGTCCCTACACCTACTGCTCAGAAAGTATTGTATCTGTTCTATGTGGGATGTGGAGGGGAACCCAGAGCCAACAGTTCTGAAAGTCACAAGCACTTAGGTCTCGTAGATGAGGAGGCAAAGAAAACAAAAAATGTCCCTACACCTACTGCTCAGAAAGTATTGTATCTGTTCTATGTGGGATGTGGAGGGGAACCCAGAGCCAACAGTTCTGAAAGTCACAAGCACTTAGGTCTCGTAGATGAGGAGGCAAAGAAAACAAAAAATGTCCCTACACCTACTGCTCAGAAAGTATTGTATCTGTTCTATGTGGGATGTGGAGGGGAACCCAGAGCCAACAGTTCTGAAAGTCACAAGCACTTAGGTCTCGTAGATGAGGAGGCAAAGAAAACAAAAAATGTCCCTACACCTACTGCTCAGAAAGTATTGTATCTGTTCTATGTGGGATGTGGAGGGGAACCCAGAGCCAACAGTTCTGAAAGTCACAAGCACTTAGGTCTCGTAGATGAGGAGGCAAAGAAAACAAAAAATGTCCCTACACCTACTGCTCAGAAAGTATTGTATCTGTTCTATGTGGGATGTGGAGGGGAACCCAGAGCCAACAGTTCTGAAAGTCACAAGCACTTAGGTCTCGTAGATGAGGAGGCAAAGAAAACAAAAAATGTCCCTACACCTACTGCTCAGAAAGTATTGTATCTGTTCTATGTGGGATGTGGAGGGGAACCCAGAGCCAACAGTTCTGAAAGTCACAAGCACTTAGGTCTCGTAGATGAGGAGGCAAAGAAAACAAAAAATGTCCCTACACCTACTGCTCAGAAAGTATTGTATCTGTTCTATGTGGGATGTGGAGGGGAACCCAGAGCCAACAGTTCTGAAAGTCACAAGCACTTAGGTCTCGTAGATGAGGAGGCAAAGAAAACAAAAAATGTCCCTACACCTACTGCTCAGAAAGTATTGTATCTGTTCTATGTGGGATGTGGAGGGGAACCCAGAGCCAACAGTTCTGAAAGTCACAAGCACTTAGGTCTCGTAGATGAGGAGGCAAAGAAAACAAAAAATGTCCCTACACCTACTGCTCAGAAAGTATTGTATCTGTTCTATGTGGGATGTGGAGGGGAACCCAGAGCCAACAGTTCTGAAAGTCACAAGCACTTAGGTCTCGTAGATGAGGAGGCAAAGAAAACAAAAAATGTCCCTACACCTACTGCTCAGAAAGTATTGTATCTGTTCTATGTGGGATGTGGAGGGGAACCCAGAGCCAACAGTTCTGAAAGTCACAAGCACTTAGGTCTCGTAGATGAGGAGGCAAAGAAAACAAAAAATGTCCCTACACCTACTGCTCAGAAAGTATTGTATCTGTTCTATGTGGGATGTGGAGGGGAACCCAGAGCCAACAGTTCTGAAAGTCACAAGCACTTAGGTCTCGTAGATGAGGAGGCAAAGAAAACAAAAAATGTCCCTACACCTACTGCTCAGAAAGTATTGTATCTGTTCTATGTGGGATGTGGAGGGGAACCCAGAGCCAACAGTTCTGAAAGTCACAAGCACTTAGGTCTCGTAGATGAGGAGGCAAAGAAAACAAAAAATGTCCCTACACCTACTGCTCAGAAAGTATTGTATCTGTTCTATGTGGGATGTGGAGGGGAACCCAGAGCCAACAGTTCTGAAAGTCACAAGCACTTAGGTCTCGCTCACACCTAGGCGTATTGCATATGCGCGACCGTCGCATGTTTTTTTTACCGCGATTCACGGTAAAAAACTTTGAGCGACCGTCGCGTTTCCGAAGGCTACTTGGCTGTATCCCAATGGAAACGCGCAACAGAACGGCCCAAAGTAGTACCTGTACCTTTTTCAGGCCGTTTTGTAGCGCGTTAGGGACAGGGCGGAAATATGCCAAGGTGGGAACGAGACCATTGAATACAATGGGATTTATATTTTTGAGCGAATCGCGGTAAAAAAACGCGAGACAGACGCGCATATGCAATACGCCTAGGTGTGAACGAGACCTAACAGTCATCACCAAATGATTGTAAGAGCTTTTCCTCTCACTTCCTGTTGTGTTTGCATAACAGGACGTAAAAGGTAATTCTACACAGAGAATAGAAGAAAAAAAAGTGACAAGAGTTTCAACAATTCCCTTCCCAAAACAAAAGTTTTTGGCTACAAAAACTAAAGTGCTTCCTACACTTTATAATAGTTTCCAGATTCCTTTCTGCAAAAAAGAAAAATAGTTGAGCAGTTGTTGACCTAGAAAATGCTAGATGCCTGGCTATCATGCAGCTACATCAGCCTCAGTGTGATCTGAGTCAATCACATGTTCTGTAGCTCAGAGGTAAAGCAGACAGAAAACTGAGGACCTCTGCGATGGCGGACGATGTTTTCACCTAATAAGTGGATGCCAATATTTGGACAAATTTAAAGTCATCTGTCCAGTGTGGAAACCTGGACTTCAGAATCCTTATGGTGGTGGCTACAGGGGGGGAAATCCTAACGTTTAATATTCCCTTCGCTACAAAAAAATTGGAGTTACGTACCTGGTAACTCTGTTTCTAGGAACCTTCCAGGACAGCATTAGAGAGATAGGCTCCTCCCACCGGAACAGGAAACACATCTCTCTTATTGAGACAAGCTAAAGAGAACCTGTCACCAGTGTGGACACATTCGGATGGTATTTCAGACTCCCTATGCCAGCAGCACAAGTAGATGTACCCGTACGGTCACAAGCCCAATGCCGGTGACCCAGCACTGAAAGCCGAGCACACTCTGCATACACAGGACACCACACCAATTCAGATGATGTAACAGCCAAAGTAAAAGTTGTGTTTTCCTGCATCTGAAGTGCACAATAAAAAAGGTCCGAAAACCCCCATTTGCTGCCGAGCACAATTCTGAGATTGTGTTTGACCTGCTTGGAGTTTCTCTAGACAACATGTGCCACCAAGATGGGTTTGCAGGCAAGGGAAAAAAAGAACAAATACCTTCTACATGAACCCTTTAAGTGTACAGCACCTTTGTACCGCAAGTGCCCCCCCTCCCCCCACCCCATACAAACATTCAAGTTGCGAACTTTCAAAGATGTGAACATGCAAGTTAGTTCACGTGTCTGGCTTACATTTTCCTGTACGTGTGCTTTTATGTACAGTGCTTTATAGAGTACAGTAGCACAGTATCTATTTCAGGCCCAGGATATCCAGAAGCAAGCGTAAAAGCCACAGTGATGTTGCTGGGCACTTACAAACATGCGCTCAGCACAGAACACACTCGTATGCAAGGGAACTTGCTGCAGTCAAATTTGGAAAAAAAGACCCCACTATATATTCCCTTTCACACAGCATATCTAAAAATATATATTCATTCCGATCTTCCTAGTTCTTTCTTTGTTGACAAACTATAGACAGGACTGTAGACTAATCTTAACAATTTTAAAGTGCAATTAGAGGGACAAACTGGAGGGACAGTGCATCACATACAATGCACCACCTAAACCTTGAGATCTTAAACCCTTTGTCAGGACAGACAGCATTCAAATCTAGTTTACAATTGATAATAACTACCCCTGCACTGCAAGGGTTAAGTGCATGTTTTGGTCTAGGGAGGGGAGGAAAAAAAAAAAAATTATACCAACTGGCCAGCTGTCACCGCAGTCCATCTCCTATGCTGCAGCCATGGTATGTCCCTCAGTGTCCTCACATCCTGTATAGAATGCGATGACTCAGGGACCTTAAACCGCTGCAGCAGAGGGGGAAAGAGGCTGTAAGGACCGGTCTAAGAGCAAGCCACATGCGAGGATAAGGAGAGTATCACTTATTTTCCTCCCTAAACCAATAAAAAAGCAGTTAAATCACCCCTGTTGCAACTTCATATCCTTGGGGGTGGGGTGGGGGTGGGAAGAAAAAAAAAAAGGGAACAAAACCTGCCCCCCATTGCCCTCAATCAGAATATACAACCACCAGACATATTCAGATTTGTGGGATATCTGCTCCCCCCTTTGCACGCTGTGGATCATTCCGCTGACTTGCACATTATTACAGGGCACGATATTGATAAATTGATCGGGAGAAGGAACCACGGTGTGCAGTGGGGGGAGCAGACATTTCACAACTAGAAGGGTCAGATACAGGAGATTATTTTCATCGCGGCAGCACTTGGGTTACAGCATGGCGCGGGGGAATATTCACATATATGACTCTTACAGGAAGCCCTTTTTATAACTCTGCAGCCAGGCACTGTGATTTAGAGCCTGAACCCCTCTTTTCACATTGACAGGGAGACTCCTCATGACATATGTCTTCTATCAAATGTTTCCCTCTGTCTGCATTTTATTTCCTGTCTGTACACGGATCCACACAAGGGCGACACAGTGTACATAGCGGCACAATTCTATGCCAGGGTGAAGCAACTTCTGTGTACAGGCATCATCCCAGCCCATCAATAAGGATGAAGATGGAAGCAATACTAGGAGAGCGCAGATATCACAGTACTGGAGCGGGTGCTTTCCTGGGCAAGTCCCATAATGTGCTGTATATACCTCCACATCATGGAAGAAAGTATCTAAGGGCCACATTATTCTTTCCCGCTGACAGTTTACCTTTATTAGAACTGGACATCACACCCAGGCGGGGGAGGGGAAAAGGTAGTGAATGCTATCATTTCAGACTGAGGTGGAGGTTTAGGTTTTCATTAAAAGGCATTGCTGAGATTTCAGGAGACAATCCCTTTAAGATATCTTCTGTTTGTAAATAAGGACTTCATAGGACAATCCGATCCAGTGAGAAATATTCTCGATGTCAGTGTGTGTGTAAACCCTGCAGATAGCACATAACAATGAGCCTGTGTGGGGTGACACCGGGTATAAGAGGAGCCCAGCACAGACAACCCTCACCCTGCTGGCTCCACGTGACACACCAGGCCTCACTCACCGTTTTCTTGGCGGCCACCATGTTCGCAACGTGGGGAACCCGGACCTGCGGGAGACAGAACACACCGTCATACACTGCTCTATCCCTGCGAGCTAACCGGGACCCTCCCGGGGGCCTCCCGCCTAGACAAAAACCCCAACAGCCGGAGCCCCACTCACCAGAGGTACAGCTCAAGATGGCCGGGGACCGAGAAAGGAAGGAGCTCCCACAATGCACCGCATTTCATCCACACTCCGCCCGCTGGCGGGGCCGTCATGACGTGACCAGGTGAAACGCACGCTGGGATGGAACGCAGCGTTACTGGGCGGAGCTCGAGGCACGTGACACGATTTGGCCGCATCACTATTGACTGGGAGGGCGGGGTGATGGTTGTCAGGGGGACGTGTGTGCTGCTGCCTGTCCTCCAATAAGAAAACCAGAACTGTACTACTGTGTGCTTTCCTCGGAGAGCAGAGTCTTTATAAGGCCTTGAAGAAATTATTATTAAATACTGTATTGAAATGTAACTACTTTCACATTTGTTGTAAAGTGTGTGTTTCATTTTCCACAATTAGGAAGATGTTACAGTATAAAGCCATTTTTTGGGATGGAGAAGCGGAGGGTTAACCACTTGCTGACCAGGGTGTTAAACCCCCTTCCTGTCCAGGCCATTTTTCAGTATTCAGCGCTGCGGTACTTGGACTGACATTTATTCGGCCATGCAATGTTGTACTGAAATGAATTTTATACCATTTTTTGGGGACACATAGAGCTTTGTTTTGGTGGTATTTAATCAACACTGGGGTTTTTACTTTTTACTATATGATGAAAAAAGGAAAATATTGAGAAAAAAACAGTTTTCCCTACATTATGTTATAAAACATTTATTATTACCCAATTTTTTGGCAAAATATAAAAGTCGGGGTCACGTCGGGTAAATAGACACCACAAAATCGCAAAAAAACTACCATGCCTAAAATTGGCCATTGGCGACGCTTTAAAAGCTTTTACCACTCATCAGTTTAGTGTTATCAGTGATTGATGGGCCTAAAATTATTGCTCTCACTGCGACGTTCGCGGCCATATGCAACATGTGCGGCGCAATCGTTGTTTTGCGCCTCACACAACAGGATTATACAAGCGATTAGCTGTTAACCTCCCCGGCGGGACTCTGCGCGAGCAGAAAAGAAAATCACATACATGTACGTCCACCCCCCTGGAAGGATCCGCCGTCCGACCGTAATTTTACGATGGGAGGACGACAAGGAGTTACAAGCACTATCACTTTTTTTTCCCATCTATGGCTCATTAGGGAGATTCCCCTTCGCTTCCTGTCCTCCAGACTCAACAGGAAGCAAAGAGGATTTCCCATCACTTCCTGTCCTGTGGACTCAGCAGGAGAGAAGGGGATATCTTTCCAATGTGAGGGATATAACCTCTTAGTTGTCACAGGAACAAAGGTCCCCATTTCTGGGACACCTGGTGGTTCTACTCCCCCTGCTATCTGTTTTTTTTCTTTTATTTAGACAGCGGCCGCTTGCAGAATAAAAATAAAGCAACAGATAGCCGGGGAATGAACAGCTAGGCTGCTATTGGCCAGTGGCGTCACAAGGGGTGTGCGGGGGGTGCGGCCCGCACCCGGGTGACACCAAAATGACTGACAGTCATTTTGGTGTCACCCTCCTCTGAAAAGTCCGGCGCTCGGCCATGGACCGAACACCCGACAGTATCATGAGAGAGGAGGGGACCCGGCAGCATATCTGTAATGCTATTGGTCATTTCAAATTGCAATAGCAGGCTGGCTATTGCACCCGCTCAATCAGCAGAGGTGGACCTGATATTATAGGAGGTAGCACAGAATATAACATTAGTAAGATTTGAATCATTTGTATAACTGGAACAACATGGGTTCACAGCAAGACTTGATTCCTCATAGCTGTAGATAAAATGCTAAAACACAGCAGACAAAATCAATACTTTCTGAAATGGGCTGTCGATAAATATAACATATAAACTACAAAGCAATACAAAAAACTAAAGGGTCTATTTATCAATCTGTTTATATAAGATTCACACAACATTCAGCCAAAGGTCATTACTTTTCTAATTGAATTTTGAATGAAATTTGTGTGAATCTTGGGAGAGAACATGGCTAAAGAGGCCCCTACGTTGGTCATCAGTATAATTGAGTGATTTCCCAAGTCAAACAAACGGAAGTGATGCAACCACTAGGTGGCTGTGCATGATACCAGAATACACAGGGGGTGATGTACTCTCCCGAAACAGCCAGCCGGAGAACTAATAGTAATGTACGGGAAAACAATTCCAATTAAAATAAAATAGGAAAATCCAGAAACAAGAACAGGCAGGTGGAGATTTTGCTCGAAGATGAATCTCTTTTTAGTATAATGAAATCCATGCATTGTACTGATCGCCCAGAAAAAGCAGAACTACGAGCGATAATAAAAGACCACCAATTGTCTTAGTTACATGTTTATTTAAATGTCACCTCCAGACAAACCTTCTGTCTGTGCCACCACTGATAAGTTTTTCCACACTTCCTGTGTGGTCACAGAAACAGGAAGTAAGAGGAAATTATCCCAATAGGGAAAAAGAAATCTGTCAGGTGTTCTAACCAGAACTGTACCAAAAGAAAAGTCGGGTCGTTTGGCTTTAACCATATTTTTATATAGAACATCGGTCAAATGTTATATTAGCTTCCTGTAATCACCTGTACAGCACGACCTGTAATCACCTGTACAACACGATTCAGACTGGGAGAGGGAGGAGCTGAACTGTAAACCAATCAGGCTCTGTATTGCCCAGCGCTGTCAAGCTAACACAGACAGCTTGCTTATAGGAGAGAGCATAGGGATGACTCTATCGGTGTTCTGCTGATCATTCACTTTCCAATCACAGGTTTGGGCAGGTACCTGATCAAGCTGTATTGTTGTAACTCTGGTGAAGAAAAGTGAGGTCAGGGATTTAGTTGTGCTATCTGTCAGGGGTGAGTGAACCTCAAGAGTGGCTGAACAGAATTATAAATCCTTTGGCAGATACAACAGTTAACACATTTGTATTTTAAGGGATCAGGTACAATGAGGTCATTTTCACCTCTTGTACTGAGAGAGGTAACCAGTAGCTGCCATTCATCTCATTGGGCTAATACTGCACAGTAGATTATAGTAGCTCAGTCCAGGCTCTCCATTAGAAACCATACAGGCCACCTGACAGCCCCCCACCCTGACAGGCCCCTCTCCGTGCAATAATCGCACAGCACCGAACAGTTAACGCCTGCTACTGCGCAACGCAACTACCTTGCGTTATAGTGCAGCAGGTGCATTGCATTGCCATTCATTTGAACACACCTCCCAGCCATGGTACCGCAATACTGTTAGTTGCCATGTTGGGGAAAAGTAGTCCATGCTCTTAGGTCCCATTCACACCCTATTCTGGAAAAAAAAACTCAGCGCAGCCTGAACGCAAGACAAGGCAATTTGCCTTGTCATGATTGGGCACAGTCTGCTGTGTGCCCATAGATGTTAATGAAATGTTACTTGTGACATTTCAATCAAGTTCTAACAAAAAAGAAGAAACAGTGCTATGTGTCTCGATTGAGCGCATTAGCACTGCCTGGGCATACGCACACCAGCAGCCGTGCCCAATATGGGGTACAGCCAGCGCTCTTGTACCAGGCCAGGGCCTGGCAGCAGGGGGGCCTGGGCTTGGGTTGAATTTTTTTCTTCCCTTCCCTTCTTCCCTTTTTTCTCCCCAGACATTTTCCTTTCCCGTCTTCCATGCACATCTCCCCGCATGGCTATTAGCAACCTGGGACGCTCAGGCCCGCGTCCCACCCAGCTCCCGGCAACCTGTAATGTCACTGGTTGCCAAGAGCCGGGTGGACGCCAGCCACAGCATCCTGGTTGCTAAGAGCCGGGCGGGAAGATGTGCATGGAAGAGGGAAAAGGACGATGTCTGGGGAGAAAAAAAGGAAAGAAGGGAAAGGGAAGAAAACTATTCAACCCAAGCCCAGGCCCCCCTGCTGCCAGACCCTGGCCTGGTACAAGAGGGCTGGCTGTACCCCCTATTGGAGCCCCTGGCTCAGTCAATAGTGATTCCTCGATCCACTTTGTTTAGAATGCATGGGGGATTCATACAATCGGGCTGATTGGTGTATGACCACCCTTGCAGTAAAATCACCTGCGTAGCTCTGTCTTTACTGTTCTGCAGTATATGAAATTGTGGAGGGGGGAAGAGTAGTGAATGAAATTGTCACACGTCGGCTCGAACTATGAGGTTGAGTGAAAATCACTCACCTCATAGTTCTCCTTTAAAGTCGACCTTCGGTCCTTTTATCTCAGGAAACTGCAGTAGCAGGGATCCACAGCAGGTAATGGGCAGATCTGTCATCGGAGGCCTGGATGCCAGTGTTCTTTCAAAGTTTGTGACTACGCTAGAATGTGTGACCGGTGACGTGGTGACACATTTTAACGTAATCCCGTCCAGTTTTACAGCGGTGGAATGTGTGACCGGTCACGTGGCCACACATTTTAACGTAATCCCGCCCAGTTTTTCGGCGGTGGAATGTATGAACACCAATAGGTCAAGGATTGCAATGCTTTCTCAGCTATTCCAGGGCAGATCGGCATCGCAGATCGTATATGCAGTAGAACCGATCTGCCCTGGATCAGCTGATCGGTCCTGAAATATCACTTCTATCCGACTTTGTGGAATGTGAGAACGCATATAAGTGACATTTCAAGACCGATCAGCTGGCACACAAGTGTACATATACCATATAAACAAATGAACCTGCCCCTCAGCATACAGATATGCCTGCACTGTGTATTGTGGTGCACCCAACTGCCCAACAAAATGTCAGGTACATTACTTTGTATGTTACGGCTTATTAATGGCCTATTCAATGCAATTTATATGGGTGAATGAAGCCTTATACTGTATGTTGTGCACTTCAAGGAGGTAATTTATAAAAGCTCCATCCACCGTACTAGCGTTCCTAGATATAGGAATTTCCTTCACTCGTTAGCATCATCTAGGGGCTCTAGTGCCATGTGAACAGCATCCGTCTGGCTTTTATTATATACTTTTATAAATGAACCCCTAAGTGTATCCACTTGGTAATGACAGGATTGCACATATACAAGGAAAGGCTCACCTTAGAACAATGACAAGTAATCCTCAGCTAATATCTCATGTAAAACATGACGGCAAGCCTGCTTGAG